ATAGGGCTCTTAAGATCATTAGAATTCTGTAATAGCAGGATTGTTTGGGCTATTAAGATTCATTATTTCTTTTGATATTCCAATAATCCTAATTAAAATTATTTTAATTAAGTTGAATTTATTTTTAAAAACATTGTAAAACTAAATATAACATGTTTTAAAAATAAAAATGTTTTAAAAGAGAAATTTAAATTATGAAAATTATCTTCAGAAATATTAAAGAAATTGCATAATTATTAATGTTTAAAAATAACAAAACATAACGTGTTATATCTTATTTTAAAACTTAAAAATATATGTGTATTAAATCAAAAATAATATTAAATTCAAATGTTATTGCTATCAATATCAAATTATTATATCGATGTTATTAAATATTTGAATAAATGGAATATTATTATTTGATATTGATAGCATCATAAATTTGTACATTGTAAATTATAAATTGTTACAATTGTAAATTGTTACAATTGTAAATAGTTATAATTGTATTTTCAATGTATCTAACATAGATATTTTAATTGTAAAATGTAATACAATTATGACTACGAAATTGTATTTAACGATCATAAATTCTTATGTAAATTACATGAGAAATGATCAAAAGTATACGTATAATGATTACATAATAATAATTAACATAATAGTAATTCGTTAAATTAAAGTATTTGTTTCCGAAGTATATATTTAGGAATATTCGTAAAAGAGTAACTGTTTGTATTTTCATGTCAAAGAGTCATTAATAAATTCGAAATATTTTTATATGAAATGTAAAAATTCAATGCTAAATTAATGATTAAATATAAGCATTATAAAATTTGACGGACGCCTTCGTTACAGAATCGGGAGTAAATTATTATAAATTTAATGATTTAATTTATTCTTCGCGTTTTTTCGGGACTTTTAAATCGCGATTTATCTTATAATTTAATATTATCTTATAATTTAATCGTTTACTTATACATCGAAGCTTTGTCTATCTTTCCACGACATTGAATATTGTCTATCTTTAATAATCTCCGTAAAATGCACTAATAATATAAATATTTTTTTCTATAATTAAAAAACGATCGATACTTTATTAATGACTGCTTTAATCGATTGTTTACACTAGCTAAATCTTATTAAATTTTATTAGTACATCGATTATTAGAGGGACCTTGATAAAATCATTCAATTGTTTATTAAACGTGGCGATAACGTGATTTTTTAATTATATTTTAAAGCTTATAAAGCTCATTTTATCTTATTTAGCTAATCGTGCGCGAGATAGGATATGTATTTTATTCTCAATCGCGAAATTAAAGTCGTGTATTAATCCCAAATAAATTGGACAGTGAATTTTATGTTCATAAACAATGCGGACCACAAATGTTTATCAAAATATCTTCGTGTATCATCATTTGTGTGATAATAATTATGTCGCGCGCGTATCTATTGATAGTTTTAAATTTCATATTATAAAAATTATACGTATATTTCTCGTAATCAAATATTCCGATTATTATCGATTTATTTATTCGCGTTTTCTCGCGAATTTTAAATCGCGATTTATTTTGTAATTTAATTGTTGATATACATCGAAGCTTATTTTATTTTTCCGTATTTTGAATATTTCCTTTGATAATCTACACAAAATGCCAGTAATGCAAATACTTTCTTCTACTTAATCGAAGAAATAATCAATAATTTTATTAATGACTCTTTTAATCACGATTACGTTATATAAAACTTATTAAATTCGTTATATAAAACTTATTAAATTCTATTATTGCATATCGATTATTAATAATAAATGTTGCATAATTAATTATCGCTAATCGGGCTTGTCTGGACTATATAAAAATTTTTAGTAAATTTCATATTATACGTATATTTTGGTCATTTTCGCGTAATAAATTATTTCATGTAATAAATAAAAATTATTTTGTATTAAGTTTCAAATTATATTTTACATTCACTTTTGTATTAAATCCTGTATTGAAAGAAAATAAAAATAAAATTTTAGAAAGTTTTTTTCCTCGTATTTCCATCTTAACAGAGGCATTTGCCAGCTAAGGATGTTTGTGTACTCTAATGAAACTAACAATAAGAGCTATGCCTGCGATAACGTATAATACACCGATATTCATATAGATTATTTTTATATTTAAAATAATCTTAAGTATAATCTTAGATCGCGTTTTGTGATTCATTTAGTAAAATAGTTGTATTTTCCAACTTACTTAAGACGATCTTAAATATAAGAATGAATTATGAATGCCGGTCCTAATAAGATAGGGTTACCCATCTGGACAGGTCGGAGGGAAAGAGTCAAACTAAGACAGATATCAAAATTATATATATGTATATGTATATATATATATATATATATATATATGTTATTTTTAATTATATTAATACTTTTGAATAAAATGAAAGAAAAAAAGACAGTAATTGAAAAAATAGAAGAAAGGCAACTACAGTGATTTGAATATCTCAAACCCTCTTTCCTGTTCTCTCTCTCTCTCTCTCTCTCTCTCTCTCTCTCTCTCTCTCTCTCTCTCTCTCTCTCTCTCTCTCTCTCTCTCTCCCCCCTTCCTCCCTCCCTCCTTCCCTCTCTCCCTCCCACCCTCTCTCCCCCTCCCTCTCCCCCTCTCTCACTCTCTCTCTCTCTCTCTCTCTCTCTCTCTCTCTCTCTCTCTATATATATATATATATATATATATATATATATATAGTAACTATAGATTGAAGCTCCTATTTCGCTTAATTTATTCATTTAATCAAATAAAAAGTAATGATAGAAATACAAAATAATATAGGTAAAAATATAAAAAGTTGCATATCATCAAACGCAATACCGACGAAGCGAGGATACAACCATATATATATATATATATATATATATATATATATATATATATATTAATAATATGTATTATACATATATTAAATAATATATTAAATAATTTACGTATATTAACACATATATACACATTTAATATATTTTCTAAGTATAAGGAAACCTTTCTTGTATCATCAGTCGCATTCATACGAATGTTCTAAGAATCAATAGTGCCGAAACTGTCTTTTTCAAAATTTGTGCCGATTGAGACTTTTGATTAGAATGCTTAAACTAAAACATATAAGAAAATCCAATTCGACAGAACGCCATTTCCCATTAAATTCAGATGTCGTTTATAATGTAAATAACCATATATCATTTATATGATTATATATGCAACTTATTCTATAATGTGTATTAGAAAATTTAAGAAATTAAAATACAGAATGTTAAAATGTTTTATAATGAAAAATATTTTAATTTTGTCCGTAAGATTAAAAAGAATTCTTTTTACAAATAAAAATTATTAGTTATTTAGAGGAAAAGTCCTATAAATATAAAATTTTAATGTGTGTCTGATAAATTTTAAAAAGTTTCTTAGGAGAAGACAAGAGAGATACTGAAAACGAAAATATGTGGAAAAAGGATCAGTAAAAACTAACAAAGTTTGTAAAAGCTTTTTTAAAATAATCGTTTTAATCGCGGGTATAGAAAGTTTATTGTACGTTTATACTTTATATTCTCTTAATATGTCCTGGATTTAATATGTCCTGGATTCTTAATAAGACCTGGAGAAGAATAAGTCAATGGAAAAAACTTTTTAATGATTTTCGAAAATCAGGTAGAGAAAGTACGAAAATAAAAGCTGGGATTTATAAATCCATGTAAATGTGTATTATTGTCTGGACAAAAATTCACAGATTACTAGTCCGAACAATAAAAGGAATTTTCTTACGTTAAAAATAAGTTCTGATTATATTATAATATGATTAATTATTATAATATAAAATTAATAGGATAAAATAAATAAAATAAAATCTTTCAAAATCTGTAAATAAATAATGTATATTCGTATTTAAAAGAGATCAAATCAATTTCCTTTATCTTTATTGAAATGAAGAATGATATGAGAAGATAAAAAATACAATTAAATGTTCGAATTAATTATTATTAAGCTAAAATTGAAAATTTAAATCGTAAAATGAATAGTTTATGCAAAATTAAATTGATAAATATTAAATAAATGAATATTAATAATAAGATTCGTCTCCAATATCCGTCTATTATTATAGTAACAATATTCAAAAATAAAAAATTATTTCTAAACATAATTTACAAATATTTTTCCCCAAAAAATAATTTGCAGAAAGGATATAAAATTTTACAGAAAAGTGTGAAATCCCTTTAAAAAAAATTTTACAAAAGTAAAAAAAATACGTCAAGTACATAAAAAATACTCTATCTCGTATGCAACAAAATGTTTAATGAAAAAAGTCCTTCTAAATAATTTACAATAATTTTCTCTCATAAAAACATTCTTCTAAAAACCAAAATGCTTGGATTCTGTTTTTTATTTTTATTTATTTTTACGTACTTGGCGTCGCGACGCTACCGCGTTGTTTGATAATTTATAAAAACAAATTTTTAATATTTATAAATGTAAACAATAATTAATTATTTACATTTGAGCAAAATATTCTTTATCTTTATATATTACACCTCTATTAATGATGTTAATAACGATACTTTACGTTTCATTTAACTTATATTTAAGCGGCCAGATGAAAATTTGCAAGATGCGTAAAATACGCATAATTAATTTAATTTGATATATAGCATAAGATCCACAGAATTTATAGAATAATGTAATACGTTGCACATGACGAGAATTTAATTGAATTACTCCATGTTGTAGAAACTCATATGGAAACTCAAGCCAATTCACTAATAAAAAAGTTTGAATAGTTGTAATGGATTATGAGCATTTATTGGTATAATTTCGACACACAATTCTATATATATTCTCAATATACTTTACTTTTTATAATATGATGTTAATATTGTATTTTTAATCTTACAATGTATAGAATATACAAAATGTTCGTACAGAAAAACTAAAATATTATTTCTATATAATTTTAATATATTTATGTTATGCAAATTATAAAATTTATTATGCACATTGCTGAGAGATACTGGGAAGTATATCATGAATAGCAGCAGTATCCTTTGGATATTCTTTTGCCAGGTTTTCATTTGGTACGTAATGAGTACCTTCAAATTTAGAAAAATATCGCCCTATTTCAAAATTATCGATGCATTTAGGTGGACATATTGATAGAGTATCTGAAATAAAAAAAAGATATATTTTATTACGTGGATTAAAACTCATAGAAGATATATAATTTAAAATGTTACTAATACTAATATTTTTGTACCTTGTGGCAAATAACATAATTTATTATTTTCGGCGAGAATTATATAATGCGGTTTAGAATGAATATTAGTGCGTATCTTGCTCTTTTCACATCTACATATACAAAACAAATCGTCGTCTAAAAACGCAAGATCAGGATCTTTGCATTCAGTCAAATGTGGGACTAAAAAATCCATATCTTTTTTTACAAAGTTAGATTTGCAGATATAATGCCAACCAATTATCACGCCAGTATGACAATTAATTTCGCTGTGCAAAACAGCCAACTGTTTCGCTAAACATGTATGAATATTTACGATCATACCAATTGTAAATTTAATTTTTTTACATCTTCTTTTTGGTTGTATTTGTTCCTTTCGGATTTCTGTTATATTCTGTATGTATACAAATATAATAACAAGTATAATAACAAGATTTAAGTAATATGTTGTCAAGTAATTATTGTAATGTTTTAAATTATGTAGATAATTAATTTTATTTTTATTTTACACACACACACACACACATACATATATATACAGGAGGAGGGAGGCATTTAAAGTGTTACAAGCTATCTCTGAAAGTACACATTATAGCAAGAAATGTTTCAGACAAAAGTTATTTGACTCGAAGGAGGACATAAGAAGGTTCTATTGGTTTGATCTTGGATAATCTTTTGAAGATTACATAAAGATTACCTTTAATTTCTTAAATAGAAACCCCCATTTTCGATTACACTTTTATGTTGCTTATCTCGAGATCTTTTTAAAACATTATAATAAAATATTTTTTCATTGAGTTCTTTTCGAGTAATGAGGCTTAAGGTACAGTTTCTTAATTTTACATAAACTATAAAATATCTCGTAAAATATTCATTTTTCGATTATCTTATCTCAATACTTTTATGTAACTGTCAATTGCAAATTACATGTTTTTTCTTAAAAATAATTGTGTGTTTCTTACACAAATTGATTTCTCTACTTATTTTAAACATAAAAATATTGAGATTAAGATAATCGAAAAATGAATTTTACTAAATATTTTATGGTTTATGTAAAATTAAGATTATTTTAATCCTCATAACTCGAAAAGTGACTCAATGAAGAAATACTTTATTATAGTGTTTTGGGAAACTCTCGAGGTAAACTACAAGAATAAATAATAAAAAATAGAGGGTTTTATTTAAAAAATTGAAGGTGCCCGCACGCGTGTATGTATGTGTGCGAGTGTGTGTGAGTACAATCAATACCTATAAATATAAGTATATTATATATATATATATATATATATATATATATAATAATATATGTAATACATTACCTTTATTGAACGTGAAATGATTCTGTACTCTTTATCTGTTCGTTCTTCAATATTTAGCTCATAGAAACTTTGTAATAAGATAGGTATTATTTGATTAAATTTCTCAGTGTAAAATATAGTGGAACGATTGTTGCCATTCTGTAGTTTGAGTTTGAAAGCTCTAATCATCTCCTGTTGTATTTAAAAACAGACAGACATATACAAAAAATTTCAAACTAGGAACTCAAAATAAAACGAAGTTATCTTTCATTTATCGCTTATAGAATAAATTGACTAATTGATCAACGTATTGTTTAGAAGACTCATAATTGATTGTTATTTTTATTAACTATATCTTGTTAAAAATAATTAAAAAATTACATATAAAAGGTTGTTTACTGATATATCATGTAATGGATCCTGTATCTGTCCGTCATAATGAAAGAAACGTCTGATTCTGTTAATGTTTGCAGGGTATTGTAGATCAGGTCCCTTTCTCATATGAAAACACTCCATCCGTACATCTCCTTCTGCTGTATTACTGAAAATAACAATAGAAATATATGAACAAACATATACACAAACACACACACACACACACACACACACACACAATATCAGATAGATAAGCTCTTAAGCTAAATTGTACTAACGAGTTTGGATTCCATTGAATTTCTAGAATATAATCAATACAATCGTCAAAATATTCCAACATATAGCCATCAGAATTTTGAGTTTTCATGAAGCAGCGTACACCAAGTCTTCTAGCTACGCTGTGATGTATAATAGGTAATATATATTGTCGGTAGTGCTCTAAAATCTATATCATCCCATTTTATTAGAAAAATTATATTGAATATTTATAAGATATAAAACATATAGGTACGCTTCCACAGCGCATAGCAAAGTATTATTACAATTTAATATAATGTAAAATAACTTACATAATTATAATTTATATATTTTAAATCGTCATCTAATGTTATGAATAATTCAAGTAATTTCTGGGAAACTTCTAATTCAGAAAATACGTATTCTTCCAGGATACGTATAATTTGCTTTGCTTCTGTTGGATTCCAGAAATTGTCATCAATATTGTTATTTCTCCAAAAAGTAAATTTTTCAGAAGATATCGATAATATTGCATGCGTAGAATATTTATCTTTAAGAAGGCTTAATATTTTTTTTACAATATTATCTAGCCAATTATCAATGTCTGAGTAAGACACGTGTGGTAGAAAATATTTTAGTATAATAGTAATTTGCCTTTCTAAAAGCAGTTTTTTTTTTGGCAAACTTGTAAATTTATTTTGCTTATATATTAAACGATATCGTTTTATCCAAGAAAAAATTAGATCAAAATTATATTTTGCCAAATTGTGCCTGAAAAAAATTTATTGTATAATAATTACTTTAATTTATAATGTTAATAGTAATTTAATTCATTAAATTCTACCGTGGTATGGAAATAATTCTGTTTATATCATCCAAGATAAAATAATAGAACATGGAATTTTTCGATATGGAGCAGAGGAAATGAGCGAATTCTTCTGCTTTATCATATAAATTATTAGAAGATATTAGAGATACATAGTACTCTAGCCTTTTAGTATATTCTACACTAGTTATTGCATAATTAAAAATATTTTTTATTTTCTTTGTCTTCTTTTCATAATTTATTTTCGAAGAAGGAAACCTAAAATTAAGACAGAAAATTCTCAAAATTATATTAAACAACAATAAATTATAATCAATGTACTTTCTAAAACACATAATTTTCTTAATTATATGTATATATATATATATATATATGTATATATATATATATATATATATATATATATATGTTTATATATTAACTGATTGAAAATGTAATGTTTTATAAAATTGTAGAAAATATAAGGTTTGTACGAAAGAAAATTATTTAGCTTAGAGAAAAAAGTACGTTTATATAATAAAATTAGAAGATAAAATTATTTATAAAAACTAAAAATAAGATTATATAAATCATGAAACAAATATTTATTTGAGAATATAAACTATTATGAATATACACTTATACATAACCGTATTATTCTAAATTTTTAAAAATAAAATATGAAAAATCGCAACAACTTTAATCTAATTGTTTATTATGTTTTATTATATAAAATAAAATTTTTTGCAATTATAAAATTAAAATAATTTTTAAACATAAAAATTCTATTATACATCAACAATAATTTTTCCAATTTCTCATCTTTAATAATTTTAAACAATTCAAAACGATTTATGTAAAATAATTACATATTTCTAACATTGAATAATGTAAAGTAACTACATATTTCTATTTAGTAAAACAATAATAAATACAAGATAATTCTTATGCTAATAATTTAATAACAAAATCTAGAAAAGATGATATTATTACGATAACAATGAACCACAAAATATAACAAATCTGTCTTTATTAAATAGCATAGCTTTTTTTAAGAATTCATTGAGTAACAGATGAAATATAAATTAATAAGGTAATAACACAATAATTCTTTTAATATTTCATTATTATTTTAGCAGAGATTAAGTTTTGTTAAGCAACAAAAATCAATCACATATGAAAGAAAACTTAAATAAAAAATATATTTCAAAAAACTAAATAAAAAAGATACCTTTGAAGACATTTTTTTCTCCAAAATTTCGCGCTGAATGTTATTTGCTGCAATTTATTACACGTGGATTTCAAACTCAATATATTCTCAACATTGATATTTTTGTTTTCCAATATTATAGTGATCACTTCTTCCGGCAAATCTATTATTGTAGCCATTGAAAAAAAATGATCGCAACCGATTATTTAATGATTTCGATTAATATTTGATTATATTAATTTTGATTATATGCTGATGTAACTAATCACACACAAATGTAAGCGCACAAAATTTACTGTAGCTTCTAGTATTGTGTTGTGCAATGCGTTCGTGCACCTTGTGCGATGTGACTAAACTTGTATTTCGTCTAGAAATGATCTAAAGTATTTATAAAAGACACATCAGAGGGAGGGATAGTTTCTTTGACCATTACAACAGATGGGGGCACCCATCTGTTCTGATTGGTCAAAGAAACTCTCCCCTCTCTCAGAAAGATTTCTTTTAACAACACCAAAAATGACACATTTAATCCGATCCCAATCTTATCTATTTCTAAAAAATGCATGTGAAGTTGATTACTCGAATATATCGAAATTTAGTCCGCAATGCCGAAAAGCGACAACAATAAACTTCGATTTGGTTCTTTTATTGCGCTCAATTCATATTGAGCAGCTATCATTTGCGATTATTACAAATTTTGACAGTGACTTGTGTGACAATGAGAAATGTATAATGAAGGAAATAAATGGCGCACGCGAAGTGCGCGCTTTGCGTTGTCTAGTGTAGTATAAAAATGAAACAATTTTAAATCTAAAATAATAATTCTTATTCTTCTTTCTCGAATTAAATAAGATTGCCTTTATAATCTGAGAACAGGAATAATATAAAGAAATCTAAGCTATATATTCTTGCATTTAGAATAATGATATTATCGTTAGTAGTTGCGCAAAACCGATAAGCGTCTGTCATCTTTTGTAGATAGTATCAGGATCATTTCATTCTAGATTTAAGAATTTTCCATTTAAGATTAAAATATTCTTATTTTAATAAAAAATATGATTGTCGCTATATCGATGCTATTTTATGATTGATAGAAGTGTAATAGCATTAAATTTAGAAATCTTTTCTGTGGCCTTTTGTGTAGCCAATAGGTCAAATTCTAACTAAAAATGACAAATTCTTTCAAAAAAATTTCTAGACGATTTGTCTCGTTATTGTTCTGTATGGCTTTATACCTTTGTTCTAACGTCTTTATATATATACCTTTGTATACACCTTTGTTATTTCAGTGGAATTTTTCAGCTTTTTGACCATCAATTATACATGCCCTACGGTCTCAAAGAAGAAGTAAAATCTGTACCATTAAATCAAGCCCAGCTTTCTGTAAATAATTTGAATTAAATAAAAATTGTGTGTGTGTAAAAATTCCTAAAATTCCTATTTTCGAAAAGCGCTCCTTGATTCACGGAAAACCTTAGGTAAATTTTCATTTATTATATTTTTTTTATATAATTAGCCAACGGAGAATGTAAACTAAATGGAGAATATAGACAGTAATATTATTTCATCTATATCTCAATAAAAGAAAGAATTATATCTTTTAACATAGCAGTATAGCCATTATATTTTGATGTTAAGTTTTATACAACACAGATACATACTATATGATTAATATGCAATCTTCTTCGAGAATTATTGTTTGCTGCATATGGTTGCGCTATTAATCAGAAATTTATATCTTAAAAATTTAATCGTGTATTATTAGTAGACATTTTAATTTTTACAAATATTTGACATTACGTATCAGTTTTTTCCTTTTCCTTTCGATAATGTAAACAAACCTCATATCTCTAGATTTCTCATAAATTTTTATCATATTTTCTTATCGGAGAATTATGTTCTTATCAAATTTCTTTCTTTTCTTTTTACTATTTTATATTTTATTTTTCTCTTTATTACTTTTTACTATTTTTTATATTTCTTCATTTAAGGAAAATTAAAATAACTTAGAAATAAATAATATATAATCGCTAAATATCCGAGACAGATATCAAAGACAAATCTTATGTTAGTAATCATTTATTTAATATTTATCTACTTAATTTTGCATAAACTATTCACTTGACGATTTAAATTTTCAATTTTAACTTAATAATAATTATTATTCTATTTAATTTAATAATTATTATTATTCTATTTAATTAATAATAATTAATTCGAACATTTAATTGTATTTTTTATCTTCTCATATCATTCTTCATTTCAATAGAGATAAAGGAAATCGCGTAAATGTATCGATGAAGGAGCCCGCTTCGATTGCCCGCTTCGATTGCCTTGACATATGTTGTCAAGATTACTACCCTGAGTAACATCCAAAAGGTTTAAGCCGACGCTCGTTAAAATTTATTACGTTATTATTTATATTTGTTCGTTATTATTTATATTTGTTCGTTAAAAAGTTATTAACAAAAAAATTTCAACAACTTTAATGCTTTTTATCTCCAAAAATATTAATTTAAGAAAAAAATTTTTAAGCAAATAATAAAGCCGCTTAAAAACTCTACAAAAAAAGTTGTATGCATTTTTTTTTTCATAAATCTACTGTTTTAGCAGTTATATAAAAAGTAATTTAAATATTCACATAAGGTATGATTAAGTTGCCCACAGTTTTATAAAAACCTATGTGAAGTTCCAGTTTGCGTTGCAAAGTAATACGCCAAAGACTGCACACTCTCCACCCTTCTTATATATATATTGTAACTATAGATTGCAGCGTCTATTTCGCTTAATTTATTCATTTAATCACATAAAAAGTAATGATAGAAATACAAAATAATATAGTAAAAATATAGGTATAAATATAGGTATAATATATAGGTATAAATATAGGTAATA